TTGGAAAAGAGAAAGTAAAGGCAAGCCAGAGCTCTCTATAAAAAGTTTTCCCAGTCAGAACAGGGTGCATTCATTCTGGGAGGACACTCTCGAGGACAGGGAAGCACCTTTTTCCAACTTAACTTGCAATGAAACTGGACCATTTTTTGCAATGTTTTGCTGAGAAATGCAAGCTTTTCCTTTCTCAGTCTCTTGGAGCAAATGGAGAGGAGAGGGCACTCAGGACCCTGCCAGGACTGGGGACTGAGAGGGAAAATGCTTCTTGTTTTTTGATTAAACTCTGTCCTTCTGCATCGTCACTAAACCTCTTGGACTTTGTTCCTCACTTCCAGCCCTCAACATGTGGGCAAACAGCCCTTGGCCTGTGGCAGGGTCTAAGCAGGCTCCCAGTGCAGGGCAGTTTTCCAGCAAGATAAGACTGGATCTACCAGTCCACTTCCAAATTAACAGCCTGGACCTTAACGAAGGTGTGAATCCACAGTTACTGATCGAAGGGACGGCAAAGAGGAAAGAGTAGGACTCCCAAGTCCAGAAAAGAGACGCAGTGGGTGCATTAGAGAGCTATGATCACAGAGCTTTATTTCAGAGACAGCTCTCTAAAAGCAGAGCTAAGAGGCTTGCAATGACCTCAAGTCCCTTATGGCCTCAAGTTGTGCCAGGGCAGGTTTAGGTTGGACATTAGGAAAAATTTCTTCCCCGCAAGGGCTGTCAGGCACTGGAAGGGGCTGCCCAGGGCAGGGGTCGAGTCCCCACCCCTGGGGGTATTTAAAAGCCGGGCAGACGAGGTGCTTAGGGCCGGGGTTTAGTGGTGGGATGGCAAGGTTAGGGGAACGGTTGGGCTTGGTGATCTTAAATGTCTTTTCCAACCTAAACGATTCTGTGATTCTATGATTCTATGACCTGGACAACTCCTGGCACTGGTAACAGGATAAAGAGCTGGTCATCTCTTGGCTTGGCCCGGCGACCAGTGGTGATCCATCTATGGAGGTGTGAGGGGTTAACCTTGGCTGGATGCCAGGTGCCACCAAGCCGCTCTATTGCTCCCCTCGTCAGCAGGACAGATTGAAAAGAAAAAAAACCCTCAGGGGACAAGATAAATGCAGTTTAACAAAAAGAAAATCAAAGGCCACGCACGGTAGCAAAAGGAAAACAAGATTTTGTTCTCTACTTCCCATCAGCAGGCAATGTCCAGCCCCTTCCCAGGAAGCAGGGCTTCAATGTGCATAGCGGTTGCTCCGGAAGACAAAATGTCATAAAAGATGAACGCCCCCCCCTTCTTCCTCCCTTTCCCTTAGCTTTTATCTTGATGTCACATGGTATGGAATATCCCTTTGGTCAGTTTGGATCGGGGGTCTTGGCTGTGGCCCATCCCAAGATCTTGCCCCCTGCCAAGATCTCGCCCCCTCCCAGCCCACTGGTGGTGGCAGGGCAATGTTGGAAACACAGCCTTGATGCTGTGTGAGCGCTGCTCAGCAGGAGTGGGTTATCAACCCCTTTCTACACACCGATAGCAAGCACAGCACCGTGAAGGCTGCTATGAGGAAAATTAACTCCATCTCAACCCAGTACAGGAGGGCAACTGAGCGCAGCAGCAGGCATTGCCCAGTGCTTGGTGGTGAATCCCCCCCAGGGTGGGAGCCTGCCTTGGCACCCTCCTCCTAATGCAGCCCATGGCAGGGTGCCCCTGCCTGGGGCTTTCGCTTGCTGCCCCCGGGTGCAGGTGTGGATGGGGGCAGGAGCAGCGCGGGTGTAAGCACAGCATGTGGGTGTGAGCCTGGCACCCTCCTCAGCTGCCACACTCTCGGTTAATACGTATGTATTGTGTACATATATACATATATACAGCCTTAATCCACCCACAGCCTCTCTGCAGGTTAGGTGGGTTGGGAGCTCTCCTGCACAGACAGGCTCCGGGGTGAAGAGCTTGCTGCAGGGCCTGGCACTTAGTGCAATTCCAGACTTGGTGCTGCTTTCACTGCTGGGTAACAGCAGCCCTTAGGGCAGATGGGAAACTGAGGCAAAGGATAAAGGCACTTGCAAAAAGTCACCAAGTCAGTGGCCAAGCGAGGAAAGGATCTACTCCTCCTCCCAGGCAGTCTACCTTACAGCCCAGGTCACCAAGGAGATGGGGGGGTCTCCATCCCGGGAGGTTTCCAAGGCTTAGCTAAGCCCCAGCCACTCTGATCTTGTGCTAGGGAAGGTCCCGCTGTGAGCAGGAGGTTGGGTTAGTAGAGGCCAGCCCCTTCCCTCTCTCATTCCCTGACATGAAGAAACATCTGAGCAAATCCCCTGTGGTAGAGCAGACAGAAAAAATCAGTATCACCAGGCAGCACACTGGAGTCGATGAAATAATTCACAATTTCCCAGTTTTGTGATTGCAGGGTCCGGACATCATACATGGATTCGCTCGTTCCGCTCCCAAAACTGCATCAGTGAAAAATTAAGTCCAAATAAAGATGCAGATCTGAGGCTGGTGTTCAGCCAGTGTTCTGCTGGCTACGCACAAGCGCCACACAACCCTCTCTTCACCAGCAATCGACAGCTTCAGACGTCTGTACCGCAGGTCGCAAACCAAGGCCAGCCCCACTGATTTTGTTGGAGCCTTCCAGTTACATCATAAACGTGCTGTGAAAATGCTTACACAATTATATTACTCCAGTGGGAACATAAATAATTGCCTTGTGATGACAATAAATCTTCTTTCTAGTTGTGCCGTTGTGTTGATGGTGTTAGGGTTGGTTCATTTTATTACACTTATTGTAAGGGCAGAGTGAGTTAGGACTGACAGTTCCTTTGTATGTTTAAACAAAAAAAGTAGGAAAGACCTGGTTTGGTTTGGATTTATTTACACATAAACAAATTCTGCCTGCTCCTAATACAGACACGTTCCTGCAGAAATAACCCTCTTGATTTGTCACACTGCCATTTTGAGCCCTATTGCTGGGAAATGAATGTCCTGCAAGTATATGAAACTGTTCTGAAATCTGAGATTTACCAGATGTGCCCAACTGAAGAGGCACAGAACAGCCCCCGGCCTCAGATGTGTCTGAAAGGAGAGCAGGGAGCAACCCTATCTCCTGATGAGCCAATACAAAGTGAGCGCAAATACACATCTAACGTGGGAGAACAGTATCAGCTTGCATTACGCCGCGGGGCATCCCAGAGACTGCCCAGGACCCGGGAGTGCCTCCCTGCTGCAGCATATGGTCGGGGATGTCCCCCTGGGGGCACCCAGGAGCACCCAGCAGCCTCTCTGGGAACAACAGGGGAGCATCTGCCATGGGGTCTGCATTGAGGTACCCCGGTCACCCCCTTTTCCATGTCCTGTCAGTGCAGTGCAGCAGAGGGATGTGGGCAAGCAAGATGCTGAAGAAACAGAAAACTTGCAGATGTTTGCAGTAATGGTTCAGTTAATGTTCTTTAATTTCCAAAGCTGGGCTTGCAGTTCCTGTCTTCCCCTGCCTGCAAAGGGTGAATTTCAGCTCCCACGAAGGCAACAGATGATGCAGCTCCAGTACAAGAGAAAGTGAGTTCACATGAAGATGTTTTCCACTGCTTTTGGCTCACAGCAGCCTCAGAAATTACGCTGGGGGCTTGCAGAAGGTACTCTGAGGGAGGTTCACAGCCTGCAGTAAACCAAGGGCCAGGTTACAAGTTCCCCGTGGTGAAAACACCAAGACTCTCTAGGAAAGGAAAGGCAGAGCAGGGGCCTGCCCAGCTCCTTGGGACTGCCCTTCAGGCCTGATGGGTCCCTCCAAGCTGGGATAATTTCAAATGAATTGGACAACATCAAATGGAGCTGGGTTTGCTTCAGGCTCTGCTCCCTTGGAGGAGGCTCTCCCTCCTGTGGGAAAGGCAGAGGTTTGCAAGATCTCGCACATCTGCAGGGATGCTAGTGGTCACCCCGATGTTGCGCTCGAGCACCACGGGCTCCCTGGAGGGGCAGAGTGACCGGCTGTGGTGGCCCCTCCAGAGGCTGGGGCTCTCCAGGGGGGACTGTGATGGCAGCCCCGTGTCGCAGCAAAACCCAGGCTCTCAGCATTCAGAGCCACGGAAAGATGGAGTTGTTCTAATATAGGTTCAGTTCAGGTGCTTTAATTTCCCAAGCCAGGCTTGAGGTTCCTCTGTCCGCCACAACCTGCAAAGGGCCGACTTCAGCTCCCACGAAGGTGACAGGCAACGCAGCTCCAGTGCAAGAGAAAGCGCCAACGAGCTGATGTGCAAACCACCACGCGCCGCTGCCTGCGCTCTGCCGGCCCTGCCACACATTGCCTCTGAGGGACAACACAAACTTGAATCCACCAGTTCACCGGCTGAGGTCTTGTGGCCGCAAACATCTTCAGTTTTACAAAACACAGCAGCTTTCTTCCAGCTCAATTTCCTTAGAGCGGCTCCGCAATGGGTGGCTTGACGTGGGCATTCAGCGAGAAGATGGTCCCCACTCTGCACATACGAGCAGCAGAGCTCGGCACTGTGCAGAAGAAGCAGCAGCAGTGGACCACTGCTGTTTCCATCTGGGGGGGGTTGACTGACGGAGGACACCCTCTCAGACCAGACAGCTGGGTGCTATCGCTGCCAGAGGACAAAACCCTTCCTGGGGTGAACACCTTGGCTGAGCAACCCCCTGATGACCAAAAGTCTTCAAGTGTTGGCTGAATCCTGGAGACACAACTGTTGGAAACATCTCTTTTGGCCACCACTCAGTATTTTGTGATTGATTTATTGGTGGCAGGGGATGATTGTCACCGCTTGTACCTTTGTCAGGCTGTTCCCGGAGAGCAGCAGCACACCAGTCGAGTCACTGGGTACTGGGCCTTTCTCTTGCTGCCCTCCCGCTGCCAGGGTGCTGATTCCTGGCTGCACACCGGTGGGAAGACCACTGGCACCACGGCAGGCTGGGAGCTCCGCAGGGAAACGTGTTCAGCATTTGCACTGGAGAGTATTGCTATTCGGCACAACAAGATCTATCCCAATAAATTGGTAAAATTATTGTCCCCGATATGGACAAGACACAATCTTGTCACGTGCTGGCAACAGATCCATTCTGGAGAACGTCCCTAGCAAGCTCCGACCTGTTCCAGTGGTGGCGGGTGCAGGTGAGATTGAAGGCCGGTGCCCACCTCACCTTTGTGACCTCAGGGATGGTGCACAGCCCTCGCTTTCCAGCAGGAGCAACCAAACCCAGCATCAACTCCTGGGCCGCGCCCCGCCATGTCCCCACTGGACGCAGCACCCACAGGCCAAGGCTGTCGTGCCCCGCAGCCCGCCAGCCAGGGGCACCCTGGGCTCCCCCCCAAAGCCTCTCCCTGCGCCTGCGCGGTGCCACATGTGTACTGCATCCTTTCTGCAGGGAATGACGTCATTATGGCTGATGATGAGTCAGAGGGGCGCTGAACCTTCCTCTCCGCAGGTCGGGACTGAGCGGCACCGCCCCTGGGAGCAGAGCGTGGGCTTCCTTAGCCCGAGCCCCCCGCCGCGGCGGGGACCTCCAGCGCCCACCTCCCGGAGCCCCACGGGTGACCACCGGATATCACAGCATGACGTCACACCGCTCCGTGACGCACCCCGCTGCGGGGCACCACGCCCCCTTGCTGCAGGCACGCATGCGCGCGCTCAACACCTCCCACAGCTCCTTCCCCCCGCCCCCGGTCGGCCCCCGG